AAGTGTATTTGGAATGTACTGATCTATTTGGAGGAAAGAAGTGTGTTGAGGATAACTCTAACATGTACAGTTTTGATAATTGGTTGTTTGGGTACAGGTACCTCAGATTAATAGCTTTGTATTCTCAGCGCCTTTGCAGATACCTGGTACTTGACTGAGTGACTACTCGACTGATTGACTGAATGCTATTGCCTGAGCAGAAGGCTACAGGAACAGTGATTTAGAGGCTGTGTGAAAGTGAGATTGGAAAAGAAATGGAAAGGGTCGCCATTGTGGGGATGGAGCGCGAGAAAGGAGTATCTGGACCAGATATGCAGATTTCTGTTATCAGTTTATAGGTGATACCCAAATGTATAGAATTGTATGAACTTTCTCAAGGAAAATAACTAGAGTAAGAAGAAAACAAGTCTGAGTTGGAATCCCAGGAAATGACACACTAAAGGATCAGGTGGAGTAGGGGACACAGTAAAAGAGTCATCAGGAAGGTGAGAATAGAATGAGAGTGCCTGGTTTTGTAGCCTGGATAGGGAGAAAGTCTTGAAGAGGAAGGAAAATCAACACCATCGGATTCTTATTCTTCATTAGATATTTTTATTTCATAAATTATAAAGAGAACTAAGCTTAAGTAGTCTCTTTCTGTTTCCATTTTATTTTATTTTATTCATTTATTTTTTACGGCAGGGGTTTCACCATTGCAGTTCTTCTCCCTCAGCCTTCCAGCTGGACTACGAGCATGCACCACCACACTTGGCTCTTTTTCAGTCAGGGTCATGCTGTGTTGCCCAGGCCAGCCTTCAGCCTTCAAGAATCTCTTGTTTCAGACTCCACTGTGCCTGGCCTTAAGGCTGGATGGGGAATTGAATCACGGCCTCCCATGTGGTCTGAACATGCAGAGAGCAGTGTGTGAGTAGTGTGCAACAACAAGTCTGGGCCTCACATGGGCTCTTTCAATTGAAAAAGAAAGAATTAAGATACAAAGAGAAAGAGGAAGACCTGAAAGAGGTGGAAGGGAGGAATTCAGTTTTGGAAAGCATCGTTCTAGAGGAACACCCAGGTTCTTTTCTTCCTCTGAGACAGGACTGACGCACAGACCAAGGAAGGAGGGTGAAAGAGACAGGGAATGAGGGTGAGGAAGTTCACACATCTCCCTCTATTTAAAGAGATAAGGGAAAGAAGAGACAAGGTCACTAGTCAAGACAGAGAGGGGAGTAAATGGGTGGTAAGTTCAAGGAGAGAGGTAAAGATTTGGAACCAAGGTCTTACGAAGATTGGAATTGTAAATCTCCATGATTTACAATTTTATGTGGTTATGACCTGTCAGCTCTCCGTGACCTGGGGGAGGCAGGGTGGGAAAGTTGGAAAGAAAAAGAGGGTTGGGAAATAAATGCACTGGTGAGAGTGACGTGCAAATGGTGTGTAGGGCATGGGAGAAGAAGAGGAGGGACCCAGGACAAGGGTCGTAGACTCAAATGAGGAGAAAAAGCGAGCAACTAGCTGCACAGAATGGTGCAAAAAGAAGCTGGGCTCCAACTCCCCTGCAGGGTAGAAGGTCTGCTGTGGAGCCTTAGAAACAAAGGTCACGCTTGAAAGCTTCCATTTCTCTGTGCACATCCTTACATCGAGTTTGGGCTGTCTTTCCCCACTGGGACCCACTGAGTCCCTGGAGCCCAGATTTCCACTGCTGCAAAACACACCTGCCTCTCTCTTTGAGAAGCCCCTCCCTGGACTCCTCAAACAGAATTTTCCAAATGCCATGTGATCTGTGGTTTTAAGTCAGATCATTTCAATCATGTTTTACCAATTTGATGAAAATATGCACCCCTTTTACAGAGAAATAGAAACCTTGTGTGTGGCTATTGATATTCTCTAATTGTTTCTTGCCATTTGTGTGGACGTTTTATTTTCATAACTTGATGGTAAGCTCATTGAAAGCAAGAACCAGGTCTTCCATGTCACCTGTCTGCATAGCCCACATCTCAGGGCCTGCTGCTGGCACCTGGCAGGGTGCTAACAGATGTCAGCATGAAGCTGAAGTCATTTACCAAGGAGACCTCCACTAGTGTTTAATCTAAAGAAATGCCCAAATAACTATTAGTCATGGAAAAGACTTGCATAAAAACAAATTCATTCATTAAGTCGTTTAGCAGAATTTGTTGACCATCTATCTTGTGCCAGACATGCTGAATACTGAGGATGAAAGGAGACCTTTTTGTATTCCTGGTATTCAGGGGCAGGGGACACAGGAGCATGCAGATCATTATAGCACAAGGTGGTAAGGGGCTGGGATACTTGAGAAGGGATGTGAGTACACAGAGCAGAGATCTGAGGGTCCATCTGGAGGTCAGGGAGGACAGAGTGGAGATGATGGTATTTGAGGGAGGCCAAGAAGAACAAGTAGGATTCCAGCATTCCAGCAGATGGTGTGTGTGCATGTGTGTGTGTGTGTGTGTGTGTGTGTGTGTGTGTGTGTGGTGGGGGTGGTGAGAGAAGAGACTGGGCAGGGAGAAGAGAATATCTGAGGACATGGAGACTAGAGAGCGCTGTGTTTAGGAACCATCAGAATGAGATAATTTTGAGGCTGTGGGAGGAAGTCAAGCCAAAATTGTGGGTGGGTGCCAGGCCAATGTCAACCTGAAGAATGCCAGTTTGGGTTTTCAAACTTTAGCCACAGAAATATTTAATCAAATAAAATCTCACTGAAATGCAACAAGCAAAACAGAAAAGAGCCTGGCAGTTCTGGTTGGGGGTAAAGAACACAGGGGACCTACTCAGCTTCTCCTACCCTGACTCCCTCACCTCCTAGCACCTGATGTGGTGAGGAAAGGGTCTGAGGACTCACAGGGCTTGGAGGGGCAATGTGGAAAGCCTACTGTGGCAATGGTGGAGGAAGTGGGTGACTATTGAAAGAGGTGCTCGGGCAGACCAGTGGTTTAGAAAGGTAAGTGCCAGGAGCATTTCAAACATGGTAGAGAAAAGAGATTGACCACAGCAATTACAGGGGAGAATGGAGGCTAGTCTGGCCTGGGTGGGTTATGGGAATGGAGAGGACATGGAGGGTTCCAGAGCCCGATACAAATGGTCCCCAACTAATGATGGCTTGACTTAGAATTTTTCAACTTTATGATGGTGGGAAAAGTGAAAGCCATATTGTGAGTTAGTACTCCAAATGCATTTCTGACTTGCAGTATTTCCAACTTACCACAGGCTTATCAGGATGTAGCCCCATTGTAAGTTGACAGCTCTTATAAGTGGAATCCACATTCATTAGAGACCAGATATAGGGACCAACCAGCAGAGTCAGGAGGAGAAGCAAAAGTCTTGGCAAACTGGTATCCTAGGCACTGGGCTGCTGGGTACAGCAGAGCCCTAATTATGACAAAGGGACATCAAGGAAGATGAGACTGAAGCCACAGCTATTTTCTGAACCTCCGGGACAGGAAGGGGCCAGGTAAGAGAATGACTCCACAGCGACTGTCCTGATTTATAAAATAGTCCTTTACTGCTGGAGTGGGGAGGTTATCGAACCACGTGCTGAGAGGAGGGGTGAGGCTGGTCCATACTTGCTTTACTGCAGGCGATGTAATTTGGAAAAATATATTTGGAAAGTAATTTGCATACCATCAAGTCAGAAAAGGGTTCAAACTACTTGACCTGGCAATTCTACATGTAGGGAACTTGCCCTTAGGAAATAGTTCAAAAGAATACAATGTCTCTGTTGATCCATCCAGATGTTCATTAATTAAATAAGCAATCAATCAGAAATCATGCATCGTACTACACACATTCCAGTAACTCTGCTAAGTGAATGAACATGTTTGCTGTGGCAGTGTTTATAATCATGCAACATAGAGAACAACCTAAATTATTTCAGATGGCATGGTGGTTTAATACAGAATGGGACGTCCATGTGATAGGCCTCATGCTTTCATGCTCTATGGCAGAAACAATATTCAAAACAGCCTTCTTAGGCCGAGGTTGAGCACACTTTCTCAGGAGGTGACTGCCTGGACTTGAATTTGGACTGTTCCGTGCCCTAGGCTGCCTGACCTTGGCAAGTTCATTAGGCTTCTCTAAGGCTCAGTGTCTTTCACAGTCATGTCGAGACAGTACTCTCTCCTGTGGAGCTGCTGTCAAAAGTAAATGAAATGGGGGGAACCAGCAGTTAGCGTAATGGCTATATCACTGGACTCCCACGTAGTCGACCGCGGTTCGCGTCCCGGACCCAGTGGCTTAAAACTCACACCGGGTGCCTGTGCGTGCGTGCCCAAGATCCCGAGAGGAGAATGGAGGAGAAGGGATTGTGGCATGACCATCCCCCCTGGGGGGTGATTTCTCGCTTTCTGTCTCTATGTCTCTGTCTGTCTGGTGAGCGCACGTGCCCTATAGCGAAAACCTCTCCAAAAAAAAGAAAAAGTAAATGAGATGGGATCATATAGTGGCACAGGAGTAAAATGTGATGCTCTGCAAGACTGACCCACATGAGAAAGTTCCAGGTTCACGTCTAGGGACCTCCCTGTATACACTGAGCATGCATGGGCCAAAGGGCTGCATGTGATCCCAGGCTGGCCGAAGACTGGCAATGTATCTCAGTGTCAAGACCCTGCTGGGTAATCTGGCTCATTCTCTCTGTGTCTCTCGCTCATGAAAGAGATAAACTAAAAAGAAAACAATAGATTAAATGTAAAACAGCATGCAAAGTGCTTGGCATAATTCCCAGCACACAAATACTCAGTGAACGTCAGTTGTTACTTTAAATATAGAACAATGTGGATCAGTAGAAAAAGGCTGACAGAGACTGTCCCAAATTTACACCCCCCCCCAAATTTATAGCCCCGAGAAATAACAATGATTTGTCTCCTATGGTTCTTAGTATCTTTGCACTAAAACCTTTGAAGTTGCAGGCAATGTAGAAAATCAAGAAATAGGTAAAACACTTTGACTCATCAGTTCATCCTAGGAGAATCGGAATAACGGGCAGGTCCTGTGTTTTCTCTTCTCAGCGGTATTTGGCCAGCGCTTGGATGAGACTGTGGCCTATGAACAGAAATTCGGGCCCCATCTGGTGCCCATCCTGGTGGAGAAATGTGCAGAGTTCATCCTGGAGCACGGCCTGAATGAAGAGGGCATCTTCCGCCTGCCAGGGCAGGACAACCTGGTGAAACAGCTGAGAGATGCTTTTGATGCCGGGGAGCGGCCCTCCTTTGACAAGTACGCAGTCCTCACCTGCAGTGTCCCATGACCTCTCTCCCCTCTGCCTGGCTTGGGTGAGAGGATTTTCATTCCAGCTGAGCTGGGTACTTACACAGACATTTCTAGGAGCCCTGACTTGCAACAGACAGAGCCTTTTGTTTTTGTTCATAACTGAGAATTTAGGAGCCAGGAGCACGGTTAGGAGGGGCTGCCGATAGTTATGTCAGAGACAATGTGACCCAAGACTAAACTGGCTGCATACCCACTCACTGGTGAAGAACACACCACAGCTATAGCTAAGGGTCCAGTGGTCTTCCTCGGGGTTCCGCAAGTGGCCAGAATCAGAATTCAGTGTTAGTTTTCAAGGCCACAATATTTCAAGCCCCAAATATTCTGAGTTCCATTCCATCTTTTGGAGGAAGCATGTACAGATATCCAGCAGCCTGGTGTTCTTCCAAGGCTCCTCTGTGGAGGTTGCCCAGCCCTGTTTGGGGACGTACCAGGTGTAGTAACATCCCTTCCTACTATCTGCATCCTCCACACCTCCTTCTGCCACCCAGCAGAGGTTTCCTTCTCTGCCCTGCTCAGTTAGTGCACCCTCAGCCTAGTATTGTGCACCCCATCTGCTGTGCAATACTCACCCCAGCCACAGTGTGTGCTTGTCCTGCCAGTATAAGATCTATTGTTCTTTCCGAATGAGCAACCTATAAACCAAGATTTAGTAAGGTGGACCTGAACTCTGTCCAGTTTCCAAAAGCTCAAATTCCCCAGAGCTTATTTGGGGCAGTGTGGTAGGACTGATTCTGGACGATTGTGAAGATCTAAGTTCTGTACTCGTGTGGAAAGTCTCATTTTCCCTCTCCCTTCCCCCAGTTCTAGTCACTAATTCTGCCAGATACTTTCCAGCATCTCAGAGGGCCATCCATTTCTCTTGATGCTATTGGCTGTGCTCTTAGTTTGGACAAGCCACATGTCTGTCTTTTCCACCCTTGGCAGATTACAGGTTAACTCACCAAGGGTGCTATATTGTTAACAGTGGTTGCCTGAGGAAACACTAAGTAGAGCTGTTACTGGAATTCTAGCAGGTTATGGGCATTAAATTTATGGATCTTTCAGCAGTACTATTCTCAGGCACCTGTTCCATTAAGCTCGCCACCTTTTATATTCGGTTTTCTTCTTATATTTTTAAATAGCTTTGAGTTGATCAAAAGATACAGATGGGTTGTTGCTAAAGAGTGTAAACAGTACACTAAAATAAATAGATGTGTTTGCTGCCAAATAACTCTGCCAAATAACTGCCTTAGGCTTTAGTTTATGCATGTTGAAGTCAGCATGGGGGGTGATGCTGGACTCTTCGATTCTGTGAAATATTTGGAGCTGGAAGGAAGAACGTTTCCACACTTTGTCATGACACCCTCCCCTACCCCCCAGAACTGAGAGGTAGTTTACAGATCCTGAAATACTAACAATCATCTGAAACTCTTCAGGGTCCTGGGTCCACAAGACCCTTGAGAGGACTGATTTGGGGAAGATCAACTGGTTCTTATTGATTCTTGTTATTTAGTTACTTAGTTACTAACCTGTTTAGGAGCTTGAGCCTCCCTTAGAGCATATCTTAGATTAAGAGAAACTTCTTTCCCACCTCTTACTTATTAGGGCAGAGCCTCCTGTGGTTTTTTGCCGAGGTACGGCACTGGAGTCTGGGCTTCATCTCTGTGCTCACCTTTCCCCTGCTTCGCCCTTTGTGATATAATGCAAATGCCCACTAGCATATTAAACTAGAGTTGTGAAATTATCTTTGCACATTTTCTGATTTGACCCTCAAGACAAAAGTAGAATAAAAAAAACAGGTTATTACCATTCTGCAGGTGATAAAGAAGCCTTGGAAAGATTAAGCAATTTACCCATAGTTTAGTAACTATTCCTGGGCCCTAGGGAGTGGGCCTTGGATCTTCTCACCCCTGGGCCACTCACAACTCCTAAGCCCTCAGTTTCTCCTTTCTTTTGCCCTTGTTCCAACCCTACTCTCCTTCCCTACCTTTTCACCTTCCACCCACACACATGCACGATTCAAATGAACACAGTCTCAAGGTTGGTCTCTTCCTCTCCCACCCCCAGGTCCAGCTCTGAAGAAGTCATATAACAGTGGTCACTTTCACTGCAGAGTTAATTTGTCAGTTTTTTTTTTTAAACTCTCTTAGATTATTGGCTTTATAAATTTTTTAAGGATTATTTATTTAATTCCATTTGTTATGATTCTTTTTTCATTTGACCAGAGAGAGACAGAGAAAGGGAAAGCAAGAAAGCAAGCCACCAGGTCCAGGATTCAAACTGCAGTCAGCCATGTGGGAATCCAGCACTCCCAACCACCATGCCATCAGCTTTGTAAATCTTTACTATGGTTGTAGCTTGTTATACTATAAAAGAAATTTTAAGATTTAGCAAGTGGAAGAGAGGAGATTTGGGAGTGCAAGGAGTCTCTTTGCATCTCCCTGACATTACACCTGTAGGTTCTCACCTTGACCCTTCGTGTTGGTCATATGCTTGGTTTCACCATGAGATCTCTTTTTTGCCTCACTAGAAGGAAGGGAAATAAGGGCTTTTTTTTTTCTTTCTTTTTTTTTTTTTTGTGAGATTATAGCACAAATGTGTCTGGTTGCTATTAAATGTATACATGTGAATTTCCCTGGTGGGTTACTGCCACCAAGTTGTTACATTTTCCATACCAGTATTTCTCTGAAAAATGGACATATGGATATGCCATAGTATAAACATCAGTTCTCCAAGGGAAATACTGGCAGAGCTGTCTGAGGAACCTTGGTGACCTATGACAATCGACTGTTGAACTCAGAAGCCACTTGGCTCCAGACTTACTCTTAGTCCTTGATTAAAAAAATAATAAACGTTATATAATGTGTATATAACGTTATATATATTCAAAGATATTCCACTGAGTTGCAAGCAGCAAACTTGAGAAAAATAAGGCTGGAAAGTTGGACCACAAGAATGACATCTAAGTCAGCCCCAGTACAATGAGAAGAATGATATTAAAGCAAAAGTTTACTGAAGTAACAGTAGAGGTTCCACTCTGTTAAGTGCTAAAATGGAAAACTAGATAGTGTTGTCACCTTATAACAGAGGGCTTTTTTTTTTAATCATTATCTTTATTATTCTAATTATTTTTATAAAACAGTCAATTGCTATTTCTCGTTTTGCTTGTAAAAATACTTTGCCCGTCATGAAACACTCCTCAGACCAATCCAGTTGAGAATTCTATACATGTCATCATCAACAGTTAATAAACCCTATCTGTTTCTCACTGACGTCCTGTCTCTCTATTGCTCACTTGCTATCTTTCTCTATCCTCTTCTCTTCACTTACCCCATTCCACACTGTCCTAGTCTCATTAAGTACCTTCACTTCAAGAATGGTAGAGTAGTTCCTGTTCTTCCCTGAGGCAATGCAGGGCTGGTAACCATCATCTTCTCAAGTTGCAGGTTCTCAGACCTTGTTTTCCGCTTCAGCTTGCTGGTCCAAAGGCCACACGTCG